ATGGCTGTCTGGGAACTGGAAAGATGGTTCTGTGGTTCAGAGGGCTCGTTGCTCTTTTAGATGGCCACAGTTTGGTTCTTAGCACCCACACTGTGTGACTCACAACCACTGGCTCTAGGGTTCTTTTCTGGCCTCCATGGGCAACTTGCAGTCACATGCCCCTGTCCAAACAGACCCATGTATACATAGAAATAAAAATAAATATTAAAAAATAAGCATCTTTGGGATGCATTTTTATTTCACAGGGTTAAGTGGAGTTGAATGACGGAATATTAATTTGCTTGGGAATGTTCGGGATGTGTGGTCATCTCTTTAGACAAGTCTGTCCACCTATGGGATAGCAGGGGCATTTAGGCTACCTACCCACTGTACAACCCAGGAATAGTAGTCAATCAGTTCTCTGATGACAACAGAGAACTGACTAAAATAATGTCAATGTAATTTTTTTTTTTCATTTTTCTGGGCTCCTAGAGGCTCCACTTTGCCTATCACTCTCTGTGATACCACTTCACACTTGCTCCTTTGCAATGTGTTCTTGCACTGCTGTGCCTAAAGGGGACTCTAAATGGGTCTGGACCCCACAGAGAACTTACTTAGATGACATTCAGATCTGTTTCTGAGGTATTTTGAGTGCCATTATAAGAAATCATACAGTCATTACACTTCAAATTTGACAGCTCTGTCACAGCATGAAGAGGCAGAAATTAGGCCCAAATGGATTTATTCAAATGCAAGGTTTCATTTACTAACCGGGTAGTTATGGAAGACAGAGAGAGGACAACGGACAGTTGCCAGGCATGCACTATTATTTTATGAATCTGTAACTATGGAGTCTCATGTTCAAATATTTCAATTTCAAACAATAAACCCATTAAAGAGAACTTTTAGCTGCTACCTCTCTTTCCAGTGATTTAGAGAACTGCATTTAATTCACTTAGCAGTCACATTTAAGAATAAAAGAGAAACCTTTACTATGAGCCAGTTAAGAAATGTACTAGAAGGAATGGGATTCAATCAGATAGTACCTAATCTCACCCTGAAACTTCCACCAGAGTGTTTTCTGGAAAGAAACTGAGCCTTCTGAAACACCAATCTTAATTACAATATATATATATATATATATATTAGTCGGGTAGTGGTGGTGCATGCCTTTAATCCCAGCACATGGGAGGCAGAGGCAGGCAGATCTCTGTGAATTCTACAGAGTGAGTTCCAGTAAAGGCAACAAAGCTACACAGAGAAACCTTGTCTTGAAAAAACAACAACAAAATAATATGGTCACATTGTCTGAGCAGTGATTGTCTCATTATATATAAGGTCTTATAGCCTCGCACCAGGCCTTTCAGAGGAGATGATCAGTCTGAAATCTATGGACTTAGACAAGACCAGTTTCTTCCATCTGTCCTGCCCACTTGGGTGAACCTAGACTGGATCTGATGTGCATACCATATATGTCAACATGTGGAAGGCTTGGATTTTGCCGTTCTTCTATCTGATATGTTAGTGCTTCTTATAAACACAGTTTATAATAGGTGGTGTCCAGACTGTAGACCCGCATTATTTGACCTGTATAGTCTCATGTTTAATTAAGTTCATTACCAGCATTTAGAATTTACACAAAGATGTCAAATTTTAGGTCAACTTTCTAATTTCTAATCTTTTTATGTGGATAAGTATTTTGCCTGCATATATATATGTGCTATGTGTGTTTGTGCCTAGTAACCACAGAGTCTAGAAGAGAGCACCAGATGCCCTGGAACTAGAGTTATGGACAGTTGAAAGCTGTCATTTATGTATTGGAAACCAAATCTGGGTACTTTAGAACAGCTGCAAATGTCCTCAACCACTGAGCCATCTCTCCATCCTTTGATGTTGGATACTTTGGTTCAGGGGATATTTAGCATCCTTTCTCTATGCTTTTGTAGTACTCAATCATCTTCAGGGAATTCCTTCCCTGAATGACAGGCAGAGACAATGAGGCTGCTGTGCCCCCTTCTTGAGGCAGCATATGATGTAAGCATGACAATTGGCTTTTCATTTTTCCATCCCAACACTCAGCTGAATACTCTTGAATTGAACAATGTTGAGATGGGAAACACAGATCAGAGCTCACACCTATCAACTGTGGAGTAATTCTAGTAAGACCTCAGGTCCTGCCATCCTTCTGCTACTTTATAGTACCCCTGTGGCCTTTGTATTACCTAACCCTTCTTTGCTACCCTTCTTTGATATTTGGTGGGCTGTTTTATATTTTCCTGGGAAATTTCTTGCCATTTAAGTTTGGTTATAATGGGTTTCCTGTATCCAAGAAAATTATACCAATAAATTTTTTTACATAAGTGTCTTCCTTCACAAGGATTCTGTTTTGTTCATGATGCCTGTCCTCTGGCAACCTCAGTTTGCACATGGCTCATCGTGGCTTTCAAAGTCATGCCCACTATATAGTTATGATTACTGCATGTAAGTAGCATGGGTCTTCATCACCTAATTGCCAGAAGTCTGATGATATAGCCATAGAATCTACATTTTAATAAAAATTTAGCTTAATTCTGACACAGATTAGTCCCTAAGATATGAAGCCCATGATCCCTCAGCATTTGTTCCTACACTGCTGATTGCATTCTTGTCTCAGTATTTCTTCCAATTTAATATATATATATATATATATATGTATATATATACATATATATATATATATTCATTTATCTATTTGTTATATGGCATATATAGACTCAGCTCTGTCCTTCCACACTATGGGTCCCAAGATTTGAACTCAGGTCATCAGCTGTAGTGGCAAGTTCTTTAATCTACTGAGCTGCCTGGCTGTTCCTTGTCTCAATCTTTCTTAATTTATGTTTCTGAGAGATAAAAGCAGTTTCAGCATTCTTTACAGGCCCAGCCCAACCATTTTTTTGTCAGTTGAAAAGTCGAGGTCCAGTTGGCTAAGAGACAGAACAGGGACACACAGTTCACATTGAACTGCCCCTGAAGCGGGTCTGTGGTACAACTTTACTCAGCAGGCTGATGGGATGCACTGCACATGGGGCCCCAAGATCCAGAAGAGAGCCGGCTCCTAACCACGCGCCTGTTAATCCTTCCTCCACCCATCCTCCATTCAGAAAGCCTCTCTGACTTACTGTGTTCTTTGAAAATAAGATCCAAGATATAATGAAATGTGTTTAAATTAATGAGTCTGCTATCTAGGAGGTACAGACCGCTAATGAATAACTGGTAGGCAGATTACTTAAACATCCGTATTCTCTTGTTAATCACTTTAATTACCACCTCCTGAATCTTCTATGCAGCAGAAACTTAAAAGAACTTTTGCTTCTCTGGAGAATGACAAAGCTTTCAGATGCGTCTATAAACTTCTTTACAGAATCATTGGCTCTTGGGGCAACAGAATAGGCCCTCAAGAAATCCATATAACCAAAGGTATCTAAATCTACAAAGAATATAAATGAGAAAGGAAACATTTTCATTTAGGAACACATTTGAGAAACTACCACAGGAGGTTACATAAGTGTGTGAATTCCTTTCTTATTTCTGAACAAATTTAATATTTGCATTGGCTCTATTAGTTACTTTTTGTTGCTGTGATGAGATGTGACCAAAAGCAACTTATGGAAGAAAGACTTGGTTTTGGTTTATACTTCTAGAGGGTTAGAGTTCATCAGAACGGGGTGGCATGGAAGCAGGCAGCCAGAGCTAAAGACAATGATCACACTTCTTTGGCACAGCAGGAAACAGAGAGTGAAGTGGAAATGGGGTAAGGCTGTAAATCTCAAAGCCCATTCCCAGTAGCATATGTCCTTTAATAAGGTTCCATGTCCTAAAGGATCCGCAATCTTCCTAAACAGCAGCACCACCCAGGGACAAAGTATTCAAATTCACAAGCCTATGGGAGATATTTCTCATTAAAACCACCACAGAGGCTGAATATACAGGTCATACCTAGGATCACAAAATAATGAGGAAATGTTCTTTGCCCTCTAATAATTTACATTCTGTGGTAGATAAAGGTAGTATAGAGTAACTAATAATAAATAAACCATTTAACAAGATTCATGGCAATGAATACAGTGCTATGAAAGTAAAGAGGAAAACAGGCACTGTGATTGTGAAGTTGGGAATCATCAAGGATATTTGATTGGGTCTGAAAGAACCAGCAACTTAACAAGTTCAATAGTTGGCAAAGTCATTCCCCCCAATCCACGCCCCATTTCCACCTCCTCCAAGGCAAAGTTTCCCCTAGGGAGTCAGCCCAGCCTGGTAGATTCAGTTGAGGCAAGTCCAGTCCCCTTCTTCCTACACCAAGGCTGAGCAAAGTGTCTCAGCATAGGCCCTAGGTTCCAAAAAGCCAGCTCATGCACCGAGGACAGGTCCTGGTCACACTGCCTGGGGAACTCCTAAACAATTCAAGCTCATTAACTGTCTGAATTATCCAGAGGGCCTGGTCCAGTTCCATGAGGGCTCCTCAGCTATTGGTTCACAGTTCATGTGTTTCTGCTAGTTTGGCTATTTGTCCCTGTGTTTTTTTAGTCATGGTCTCAATATCTCTTGCTCATATAATCCCTCCTCTCTCATGCCGATTGGACTCCTGGAGCTCCACCTGGGGTTTGGCTGTGGATCTCTGCATCTGCTTCCATCATTCACTGGATGAGAGTTCTATCATGACAGTTAGGATGTTCAGCCATCTGATCACCAGAGTAGGTCAGCTCAGGCACTCTCTCGACCATTACCAGTAATCTACAGTGGAGGTATCTTTGTGGATGTCTGGGGACCTCTCTAGCACTCTGTTTCTTCCTATTCCCATGGTGTCTTTATTTATCATGGTATCTCTTTCCCTGTTCTTCCACTCTGTTCCTGATGGAGCTGGGACCTCTCTCTTTCCTACGCTCTCTTCCCCCCCGCAAACCTTGTCCTCCATTACCGCCCCCCCCCACATATTTAGTTTGCTCATGTAGATCATCCATTTCTCTGTTGCTGGGTGATCCTGCGTGCTTACTTTGGCAGCACATATACTAAAATTGGAATGATACAGAGAAGATTAGCATGGCCCCTGTGCATGTTGATTGTTTTACAAAAATAACTCAGAGGAGTTGGAGAATGGGTTGTGGAAGAGAAAACTAAGGACTGGGAGCTCATATAGGGTGGGATGGGAGAACTGAGTTAAAGAGATTCTTCAGAGGCAAGCAGCCTGATTTTGGATATAGAATCTTATAACAGTTCGGTGAGTTTAGGCACCCAACAAACCTGAATTTAAATTGTGGCTCTGCCCTTCCCTCTCACATGCCAGAATGACTTTATCTCTGTGAATTTCACATTTCTCATCGTTAAAATGGATATTCAAATTAAGGGAATCAAATAAGTGTAAAGTGTTTAGTGTCTATTAAAACTTAGCATATAGTCAATGATTAGTCTCACCTGGCATTATTGCCATCCTCCTCCTTAGGGGTGCTATAATGGATAATTGCTGGAGAGAGGGGAGTCAGAAATACCTCCGTAGCTTGACAGTCTGGTAATTGATATTGCCATTCACAGAAACTGGCAATAACTGTAATAGCAAGCACTTATTGAGGTCTTCCCATATGCCAAGAAATGTTCTTCAAGGTTCACACATAGCCTCCTTATAGGAATTCCAGATATTATCACCAGTTTACATTAGGTAAAGACAGAAGCTCTGAAGAGTCACATAGCTCCTGTTCCACAGCTAAGAAGCATAGAAACACAGATGATTTGATCCAGGAGACTGTCTCACATGGGTAAGTAAAGAGAAAGTTTTGGAGTTGTATAAAGGGGCCTATGTGAGGGACAGAAGAGTCATTAGCTAGCTTGAGTCCAACATAAGGAAAACACTCACATATAGTAGTGTGGCAGTAGAGCTGGTAGCATGAGTTTGTTCATAAATTATTTTCCTGTTCAAAATAGGAACCAAGGAACAGAATCCAAGAAAGTAAAGCTCTAAGACCTTCTGAAAAAAAATTCAGAAGCCTCTCAAAATGATTGAGCAAGGCGGGGAGAAAACAATGACCAGAATGATATTAGTTTGGCTTCCTTGATTCTTTTCAGGAAGCAATCTAGGTATGAAGGGGGAGGCATGTGTGTTATTCCCTTCTGACATTTACATCCTCAGTGTCAGCAGTGACATTCATGGTCAAAGCCCTGCTGTAACTTCTTTGTGTAGCATTGTCTCTATGAAATAAAAAAGACTTTTCCTGTTGGGGAAGTCACTGGGGATATTCCAATTGACAGAGAAAGGAGGGGTATAGAATCTTCCCTGCTAAGGGCTTCACCAAGGACTTCTGGAAAGTCTTCAGCTGGCATTTCCAATGTGGTTGTGAACAAGTTCACTCAGCAGCCTCTTCTGTAGGGAGCATCTGGTGTCAAGGAATTTTGCTCCTGATGAACTGAGCACCCCTGGGTCTTACCTGACAGCACTCACTGAAGGCTTAGAGAAGCTGGATTCTCAACTACAAGTCACAGAAGTTGACCTTAAGAATTTCTCTCTACCTTTAAAACTTGGCTGTCTAGTCTTTTAATGTTGAAGCATTTCCATCAACCCTTAGGAACTTCCTTTTGAAACTGCCTCTTGTACATGGAACATCTACGTACACAGCAAGCATCTGCATGACCCACCACTCACCCTTTCTAAGACTGCACACCTACCTATACCCACAGCTATACCTCCACCCACCACACATACCTTATGTAGCTGAGGTTGTACAGTATGAAACCATCTCTTTGGTTCTACCTGAACTAGGTTGAACACCTACTCCAGATCCACCAGTTAGACATTTTCATGCAAGTTCTTGGAATTTCTGAAGGATTTTTCTCTGGTCACCCTAAAGCTAGGAGAAATCACTATGGAGAGTTTCTTTTTGGAATAGAAAGATAGAAGTCCTCATCCCAGTCTCTTCTAAAAAATGATGTGTACTTCCTACTTTTAAATTCTGTGAAAAATACCTCTGTATTTTTCAAATAAATGACTTCTGTTTGGGTGAAATTGGTTAGTATCCGCACCTGTTACTTGTAATCTAAATAGCCTCCACTATGCAGCAAAGGATTTTATAAAAATGCAAATATTGCTGGAAATTTCACCCTCCAGAAAGTCATGATAAGGCATAGGTATGCACTTCTGACTGTAATAAATATTCAGGCAAAACTAATAACAATGGCGATAAACAGAGCAGTCACACTTTTTACTTCCCAAATGTGTCTGCTGGTTTATGGTGTTTAGTGAGGGAAGTGGTGTGGCATTAAGGACCCTGCATGTCAACAGTGAGGCTGACACACTAGGAGAGCTTTCTCTCCCCTGCAGCCTGGGGCCTCTATGGAGTAATGCTTGAAATAAGTGTTTTGATAAGTTCTGGAGATGTTTCAATAGATATTTTTAATGGGATCATTAATGATTTTGAAAGACAACTCATTTGACCTTTTTAATTTTGAAAGTAAGGTAGAAATCTCAACTTGTCTGAACCAGCTTACAAGGAAAACAATATATATCCAATCTTTCCTGATTGTTAAAGTCAAAGACCAGGGCTTTAATGTGGAAGAGTATTGACCATAACGAATTCAAAGCATAATGCTATAGAGACAAGTAAATAAAGTGATTGACTTGTAAGCATGAGGACCTGAGTTTGCTCTCCAGAACCCATTTGAAAATGCCAGTCATAGTGGACCATTTGTTATCAAGGAGCTGGAGACAGGGAGACAGGTGCAACCCTGGGGCTTGCTGGCAAACCATTATACCTAAGCAGTGAGTTTCAGACCAAGAAGAGAAACTGCTAAAAGGAAGTGGATGGTGTTCCTGAGGATGGCACCTGAGCTATCGTCTGGCACACACACACACACACACACACACACGCACACGCACACGCACACGCACACGCACACACATACCCAGAAACACATGCAAATAAATACACTTGCTTGCACAAACACACATCCAAAATAAATTCAATATATAAAAACAAGAAAACCATGTATCATAAAGACTTTAAGGTTGTCTGTGTCCTGTTATCACATTTACCTTTCACCTTGGTCAATATGAGACATGATATTGTACTCTGGGAACCAATAATCTATTCTGTTTTCAACTAATATCTACCCATTTACCCCTTCTTTCTTCTCTAAATTCTTACAGCATCTTATCTGAAGTTCTGTTTGTTTGTTGGCGCTAGAACTTGAACTGAGGGCCTAACATGCACCAGGCAAACACTGCCATTGAGCTCTATTTCCAGATATTTTAATATAATACCTTATTCTTTGAGACATGTATATAATATATTTCAATCCTATATACCTCACATTCTCTTTCAATTCCTCCTTTTTTCTCTCACATCTCCCTCCCAACTTCATGTCCCATCTATACCTAAATATATAATTCACTGAGTCTAATTAGTACTGCCCATATATACATGAGTGTGGAGCTATGAACAAGAGCATGGTCATCCTTCCAGGGACCACACCTCTAAAAGAAACTTGACTTTCCATCCCCAACAGCCATAGACTGTGGTGATATATTAAGTACCTCAATAAAGCTTGCCTGGGGGTCAGAGGACAAAACCAGCCACTATATTAAACATAGAGGTCAGGCAGTGGTAGCACACACCTTTAATCCTAGCATTTTGGAGTCAGAGATCCACCTGGATCTCTGTGAGTTCAAGGCCACACTGGGAACAGAGCCAGACATGGCACATGCCTTTAATCCCAGCACTAGGAAAAAAGGAAGATGTCAGGGCACAGAAAGGTATATAAGGCATGAGTAAACAGGAATTCTCTCTCTTGAGGCTGAGGATTTTGTAGAGGTAAGAACTTGGCTGGATTATTCTGTTTCTCTGATCTTTCAGCTTTCACCCCAAAATCTGGCTCTGTTTTTTTTTTATTATTAATAAGACCTTTTAAGATTCATGCTACAGTAGACTCCCAGAACAACTCAGCTAGGAGTGGAGACTCACAATCCCCTCTCTCACTCATACTAAATGTTGGCTGGGTTGATATTGTAGAGGCAACCACAGCTGCTGTAAGTTCATGACTGTAAAGGTCTCTTTTTTCTCCCTTTTTTTTTAATAAGAGATTTTTGTTAATTCATTTTACGTATCAACCACAGATTCCCCTGTCCTCTGTCTTCCCACTCCCCAGTCTTTCCCCCCAAATCATCCTCCATTCACATCTCCTCCAAGGCAAGGTCTCCCAAGGGGAGTCAGCAGAGCCTGGTACATTCAGTTGAGGCAGGTCCAATCCCCTCCTCCCTGCACCAAGGCCATGCAAAGTGTCTCCATGATTTTAAAGGTCTTTTCATGTCCAAAAGACACTGTTTGACCCACATCCTCCCTAACTTCTACATTGTTGGGACATTCATGACCATATGAAATTCTGAACTTGAATTTTGACTTACCTTTTGAGTTTACATTCTCACCATTTAGTAGAATGTCTAGAATTAAAAATAGTATTAACTCCTGGATGATTAAAAATTGAGTATAGTTCATGTACCCTAAGAAACCAGATAATTTAAGCAAAAAACCAAGTGTCTTTAGAGTCTGTAGGCATCAATTCATATCTACTCAGCAAGTGCATTTTCTTTCATTAATAAAATGTGTTCGAGAGCTACAGGGAGGGCAAAGGTGGAAGGCAAGCATCGTGACTTTGATGTGAGCTGTAGAAGAAACAGTTACATAAAATGTGCCAAGGCTGTTATCATCATTGCCATCATCTTCCTCAGCGGCAACTCCACTGTCCATGTGTTATAGATTAGTGCAGCTCATCCCCTCACATCACTTCATTTTATCACTCCAAGCTTAGATGCTACTGTTGCCCCAACTTCACAAATGAAGGACCAAGGTGCACAAAGTGTTAAGTACTGTGTTCACAGTTAAACAACAGGTCAGAGTTTACAACTCAAGTCAACCCATGTCTAGCGTTCACACTGACTCAGATACCATAAAGTGTTATGCTAAACTCTGAAGACATCTGGGCCAGAGAAAGGGAAGAAGAACCTAGAAATATGAAGAAAACTGCATGACTTTCAACTGCTTGCACCTGAATATCCTTACTCAGATGTGAGTGGACTGTATAGGGCAAAATCACAGCAGTGTTAAGGTA